TGCATCCTGTCTATTCTTTCTCATTCGCCATTGAGTTATTTGATGATGTTTGTGAATGAGATGCAGCCGCAACCATAATAGCATTTCTTGTTTGTTCTTCTATGTCTTGCTTGTTTGATGCTCGTGCAGTATCTTGGTTCTGAATAGCTGGTTGTGATGATTTTGTAACGCTGCTGTTAGCCGTTGCTCGGTTCGAGACAACATTAAAATTGTCGCGTCCCGATGATGGGTGATACATCCGTGCTCCCATTTTTTGCCTGTCATTAATTTGAAAGAAAAAAAAATCATTTTTAGAACAATTTTTATACAAACGTACAAATTATAGACTCAGTTTCATACTATTTCAACTAGCTTTCTCTGAGATAAAAATGTCAGATGTGATAAATCTGCTTTTTAAACTTTGTCAATTATCGTGATAAATAAAGTATTTAATATTAATGCATTCTACTTTGTGGGGAGAATAAATATTTTATAGTACATGATATGTAGTAGTGCAACCAAGATAAACTATCAAATAAACAACGGTGACTATATTTATTGACTGATGAAAATCGAAAACATATCTGTGCAGTTCTCACTAAGATCATAATTACTATAGGACAAATCGTTTCGTATGACACGTGTTTCCATTATTCACAATATATTCAAAAAACATTACTTACTTCTGTACTTTGTCTTTTTCTATAGAAAGAAATAAAAGTATATGAATGACAAACAAGTGCTTGCATATGTTGAAAATAAAATACATAAATAAGCACATGGCATCTTGCACAAGAAGTAAGCAAAAGAAAAGAAAAGAAATAAAACGACGACATGATTTTTTATGAAAGAAACACAAAAAGCTATTTTCTTTCATAGGATCTACTGTTGAGAGACATTTGAGGATGTGGATAAAGACAATATGGACCTATACCCTGCATATAACAACACCTAACTGAATAAACATATATTAAAACAATGAGCAAAGCTTGTCTGCATAAGCAATGATATAATTTATCGAATGAATAATTATTCATTAGGAATAATTATATCATTTCAATATCGTTTAATAATATTAAATATTATTTTAGTAATAAATGGAATAATAAATCGTAAAGAAACAGTTAATCCTCTATATAAACCTAAGATTTTTGATATAATATAAATAGCATAATCATCTTTTTGAGTTTTATAAGAACAATAAATAGGAGCTCATTGACTATGAAATAATGAATAAGACCTATTGATTTTCCATTCTTCAATAAATAATTCATCTGCTATAATTTGAATAAATGTATTTCTTTTAAAACGACTTACAATTGAAGAATTAATAGCTGATATATTCATTCTATGAGAATATCGAGGTGTAACAGTTGTGACATAATATAATAATAAATCAATACATGTTTGATTATATAAACATTCAAATAGTGACTGTAATAATGTTTCTACAACTGAACATACAACATTCCATTCAGGCATTGCAAGTTTTTGGCGAATCTTGAAGTTAAAATAATTTTAAAAAGATGGTGTAATGCTTGTGTTTGACAAACTTTTGAATCACCAAGATATATAAAATCTTTTAGAAGAGAAAAATCTCCAATACTTAATACTCTCCTTAATATATCTATGTGTGGTACAAAATAGAGGAGAAAAAGTCATTCATAGTGGAAATAAACTGAATATCCATGTAAAATATGGTAGAACAAAAGCAGTGAAGAGAACACGTTTTAACTTGGTGGAGGAAGTGCCACTATAGATAAATGAGTTTATCAGGGCTGTTCGTTGACGAGTAACTAAACGTGTTTTTTTTATGACATTAAGTGTTTCTTCTATTTTCATATTGTTCTTATTAATATAGAAAATTAAAAAAAATTATTATTTTGTATTAAATATCTTCTACTAAAATTGTATCATAATAATCACTTTTCTTTTCTCTCTTCATTAATATTTTTGTTGAGAAGAAAAATTTTCAAAATATAAATGCTCATTATTGAATACATTGTCTATATGTAAAATTGTAGAAAAACAAAGGGTTAGGATTCATACTTATTCTAGTAAGACTGACGTCAAATTATTTTGCACAAGTAAAAAAATAATATCACAGAATTTGATAAACACATGATTTTCTTCATTAAATCAACGGAAATAAAAGGTAAACGTTTAACATGTATTTCCGCTAAATAATAATTTCATTAGAATAAGTTACTAGTAAAAAAATCATTTTATTCTTTTACATAAAATATAATGCATCTATTTAAAATAATTATTTTAATAAGTTTATTATGGAATATATCAAATGGAAATTATCGAATATATGAAACAATACCTAAAAATAATTCGACGGTTTTTGATTGTTTATACAATTTAGTAATAACTGGTGACGAACTCCTTCAATTGGGAATGGATGTACATATTGATAGTATTCCATATTGTCGACAATCGTCAATGAAAAACAATGATAATTTTTTACCTAATAATACTGAACACTGGACGTTTGATCAACTTCGTCAAATGAATATTTCATTGAAACAATTATACGATTGGTATGTTCCATTAGATATTATAGAAGAATATTTATTAGAACAATCAAATGGCACAATTGTTAATTGTTCAAACAAAAATAATTATTGGTTTGGAAATCGTTGTCAATATACATTGGATTCTTATGCAGAATTGAAAGATATTTTATCGGATCGATTTGACGCTAAAGATTATATGGAAGATGACTTATTAACAATTACAAATGGCACATGTTATTTAGTACCTAATGATCAATGTCAATCAATTTTATGTTTAGATTGGAGAGAAATTTGTGATGGTAAATTGATTTCAAAGATTCTCTTATTTTTACTACATCCATATCTGATACTATCGATTTATCACTCATAATGATCCACTTCGACAAAAAAAATTCAGATGAGTAATTCTGTTGAGAAATGTTTTTATTAAAAATTGTCGGTTTATATCCTCTACGAGATTCAGCTTTCATACCATGTATAGCTTTGTTTTTCAAAAAAGGCAAAAAATACAGGTTAATTTTATATTAAAAATAATTTCACTGCGTAGCTTTTATTTGAACGGAACTTCTAATTCTCTTAGTACCACAATTCATTATAAAACATCTGTTCGGACAAAAACTCTTTCCTGTTTAGATTTGTATAACAAAAAAAACACATATCGATCATATGCGAAATCAGTGAAAAGTGTCTTTTATATTTTACATTTTGTGTTCTCGAAAGGATAAAAATATCTTGTATATTTGTGAGCGTATCGTCCTAAGATAAGTGAATAAATCACGACTATCTCGCATCACAAAGAAAAAATGATGAAATGTGAATAGAACCGAAAGAAAAAATATATGTGAAAGAGAACATGGAATGACGCATACCATTCTGTTACGATATTATATAGGATGCTTAATGAATAATATAAAAGCATTATTCTCTTTCTATAATGGTTGACAGAAGGGTAATCAGAGTCGAAGAATTTAAATCTGACTTCTGCGTTGTTTAATTATATAAATCAATAGCTTGGTAATTATTTAATTACGCGATTTCTACGAGAAAGAGTTGAGCGAGTCTTTAGACGAGTGTTACTCGTATTTAATGTTTCTATAAATAGCAATATAATTCTTAAAAACTGAAGATTTGACTAATATAACCGAGTTTTATTTTTATTCTTAGGAAAAATTGATTGTACAAACGGATTTGATGAATATCATTGTCATTTACTTGAAATGAATGAATGTGATGAAATAAATGAATTTCGTTGTTTAAATGGTCAATGCATTGATAAAACATTTTATAGAGATCAATATCCTGATTGTATGGATCATACCGACGAAAAATTTTCAAATATAGACCATTGTTTTCGTACATTTTATACCCATTGTGAAGATCATTCATGTCCTAATATGTGGTTTTCTTGCGGTGATGGATTCTGCTATGACGGACCAATAAACTTAGATACAACACTTTGTAGATCTAAAAGAGATTATCTTTACTTACAAAAAATGTTATCATCATCAACATTAATTTTATTTTCTCATATACATATTATTTACAACGATATGAAACCAAAGATAATCTGTTATAATCAATCGTTATGTCCGTATTTATTTAATACAAACCATTTCGGAATAATGACAACATCATTAAATGGTTTAACATGTCAAATATTAGATAATAAAACAATAGATATAAAACGATTTGTTCAATCATGTTCATTATTACCTTCAGAACATCAA